TTACAATCTTGTAAGCTTATTTTACTTTGGGTACGTCCATAATAGGGTTGATTTCTGAGTTATGTCATCATGTGTGTTTTCATAGCCGGTTGTTGTTTATTATTATTGGTGAGCTCTGGTGGCGTAGTGCATAAGGCATTTGATTGCTAACCAGAGGGATGGCAGTTGAAACTCACCAGCCACTCCTCAGAAGGAAGACTAAGCAATCTACTTCCGAATCGATACCACTTCAGAAAACCAAACAGAGGTCACTGGGAGTCAGAATTGACTTGATGGCAGTGAGTTTTGAGTCCAAAGGATTCCCTTTAGTATTTCTTATAAAGTTGGGCTGGTTTGAACAAATTCCTTTAATTTCTGCTTATCAAGAAATCTTCTAATTTCACCATCATATTTGAGGGACAGTTTTGCTGGGTATATAATTCTTGGTTGAAAAATTTTCTCTTTCAGAGTTTTATATATACCATCCCATTGTCTTCTCACCTGCATGGTCTCTGCTGAGAAATCAGAGTATATTATTGGCTGCCCTTTGTAGGTAACTTTTCTTTTTTCCCATGCTGTTTTCAGGATTCTCTCTCTGTGTTTGGTTTTGGTGATTTTAATTATGATATGTCTTGGTGATTTTCTGTTGAGGTCTATTTGGTTTGGGATTCATTAGACTTCCTGAATTGATATAGTCTCATCTTTCATCATACCAGGGAAATTATCTTCCAACAAATCTTTGACATTTTTTCCTGTGGTTTTATTTTTCTCTTCCTGTTCTGGAATTCCAATTACATGTAGGTTATTCTCTTTGATGGTATCCCACATGAATCTTAGACTTTCTTCATTTTGTTTTGATTTTTTTTTCTGACTGATCACGTTCCAAAGAAGTATTGAGGTATTTGTTTTCAATCTCATTAATTCTGTCTTCCATTGATTTGATTTTATTTCTTTGCCCTTTCAATGCATTATCTATTTCTGAAAATTAATATTAATCTTCTGGATTTCTATCCGTAGATTTTGTATCACTTCTAATTTTTCATTTATTTTGTCATTTTGTTCTTGTATTGTCTTCCAAAATTGTTCTAGAGTTTTGTCTGTGTTTTTCTTAATTTTGTCAGTGTTTCCCTTGATCTATCTCTCAATCTGTTGAAGTACCTAAATATAATACTTTTGAATTCCTTATCTGGTAGTTCCAATGGTGCTTCTCAGGGATGTTTTCTGGGTGTGCATCCTGGTCTCTTGTTTCTCCTGCTTTATCTTGCTTCTTTGTGTGGATTGTGATGGTCTGTTGTCTCTGAGACATTGTGATTTTGTTGTATTTATATTTAGTTGGTGATTATATGTTGGAGTGATTTGCCCAAGATTTTAATTTTCTTTGGATGTGTCTGAGTAAGCAGGGTACTGTGCTCCTCTATTTGCTAGTTGGCACCACTATGCACTTAACACCTGTCTCCTGGTGGGTGTGATAGAGAATGAGAGTGGCTGCACAGATCTCTGTTAACTGTTTTTGAAGAACAGTGAAGGGTGTGTCAGACTCATATTGTCTATCATGTGTTGTTGGCCAATTGGTGTAGAAGGAAGTGGTGGCCCTCACTCAATAAGTGGGGCTGCAGGAGGTGTGGGTGTGGTTGGGTCTTATGGACATGGTTGCTATCTCCTGCTCAATTAGACAAAAACATCAATCAGAAAACCACCAAAAAAGTAAAAGCAACACACACCACATAAACAATTTCCAAAATGAGGGGAAAAAATAAAAAGAGGAAAAGCAATAAATGAAAGAAAATATTTAAATAATAGTTTTAAAAGCAAAAGAAATATGGATAGAAAAAAGGGGGAAAAATGCCACAATATCTGGAGAGGGGGGAAATAAGATAATAGAGTAGAGTAAGAGAATAATGAATAAAAAAATGGGAAAAATTCAAAATGAAAAACAAGGGATGGGGAAAACCACAAGAAAGAAAAAAATGGGAACCAGGAAAAGGGAAGAGAGAAGAAGCAAAAAACTAGAACCTGGGAAGGGAAGAAGAAAGAATAGCATTTGACTGCTAACCAGAAGGTTGGCAGTTCAAACCCACCAGCCACTCCTTAGAAGGAAGATTGAGCAATCTACTTCCGTAGTGATACCACCTCAGAAACTCAAAGAGGGGCCATTATGAGTTGGATCTGGATCTGACTCAATGGCGGTGAGTTTGGTTTTTTTTTTTTTTTTTTTTTTGTATACCTATGGGCTGGTGTGCATTTTTCCAAGGTATTCCATAGTTCTGTCGAAATTTTATTCTATGTAAAGTCCCATGCTAAGCCCTGTGAAAGATTCATTGATGAGTTCACTTTAAAATGCATGCTCAAGATAACTGTAGGCTAGGAGGATAAAACATGAAAATCCATAATCTTACATCAAAACAAAAATGGATAAGAGTAACAAGAGACATACCAGATAAACACTGGTTACATGAGTTGAGGGAGATATTTGAGCATTAAGACAAAAACAGCAATGTTATCCCTTTCAAGAAGCATAGCCTGCATTTACAGATGTTGTAGGTACTAAAATTCTGAGCTGAAAAGTTCCAGATTAACTTGGGAAATTAATAGAGCATTCCAGCCCTTGACTCTCCCAATTTTTGACCTGACATAAACCAGCCTCTATATCAACCTTTGGAATAAAAATATATCCTTACCTCAAGTTCTCTTCATTCCATATTTGGCTTATGGCTATTTATTTAAAGAAGAATAATTTAAATTTTCTTTAAAGTAATCTTTGCCTGGGATGAATATACCAGTCAGAGTTCATGATTGCAAACAATGGACATAGACTCTGGTTAATTTAAGCAGTAAAGAAATGTATTAGAGAAGAATTTGCTAATTCAGAATGGACAGAAAGACTGGAGAGTCTGGCTGGACAACCATAGTATCAGTGTCTATAGAATTAGTCTTTGTATTCTCATCTTTACATCTTCTGAAAGGACCTCTGTATCCATTGAGCTCCCACAGAACATTTTAAATATTATACAGCCATCTCATCACAGGAATCATCTGCTGCATATATTAACTGTGAACTCATTGATGGGAGCAACTGTGTCTTATTCATTCTGGTTAACCCTGTGCTTAGTAGAATGTCTATGCTAGAAGAACTGCTACCTGCCCTGTTGCCTACAAGCCAGAAAACTTTGTCTCCTTTTTATCTCTCATTCTTCATTTCTAAATCAATTAGCAAGTCCTATTCATTCTGCCTCCTTCATATCTCTCAAATAAATTTACTTCTTTCCATTCCTATAGCCATCAATTAGTTCACATCAGTATCATCCTTAACTTGTATTACCACAGCAGCTTCCTGATTATCTCCCTGCCTTTTCCAAAACTTGTACCACTCTGGTCATAATGCCATTTCTAAAGTCTAATCTGACCACATTATACATTTGTTTTCAAAGCTTTGATGATTTTCTCTTGCCCTTAGGAAAAAAATCCAAATTCTCATCTGATTTACAAAGTCCTTCATGACAAGGCCTCTGCTGTCTTATCTCTATTTCCCATTACCACTCTATGTTCCAACACTATCTAACTGCTCAGAGCTTCTCAGTGAACCAACACTCTCTGGTACCTTCTCTCTCTCTTTTCCATATTCTCTGGGTTCTTTGCCTTACCCACAAATGCCCATAGAACTTGCATTCATTTCAACCTTAGTTATTGTCACACTGGTTGTCTGTTTATTTCACTATACTATAAACTCCATGACAACAGAGTTCTAATGATTGGGTTCACTATTGTCTTCTCCAGTGCCTCAACACAATGCCTGGCACAGAGGTGGAAATAGATAAATATTTGTTGAACTATCAATGTAATTCCTTGATTAGGAAAGAACTACATCTTTGAGATCCTGATCAGAAAACAAGTTTCTATTCTAGTGAGATATACAAATAGGTAATCCATGATATGAGTTATTGCAGTTCATTTAATTGGTTTCATTTTGGACATTTAGGTTGCCAATGCTTTGTTATTGTAAACAATCTATAATAAATTTCTTTATGTGTTACACAGAGAGTATTTGAAATTATTTATTTGTTCAGGTATAATCTCCTTCATTAGTATGTAAATTCCATGAGGGCGAGGACCATGTTTCTTTTGTCTACTCTCATAAACCTAGTACAAGGTACAGGCCCTGGAACATGAGATTATTCAATAAATATTTGTGGCATTGCATTAACTAACCTTACATCTCATTTGTAACAGGAAAGGACTGTGTAATTCAGGCAAGAATAGATTCAAAGGAACTGTCCATAATTTTAAATTAATTAATTGATTAATTAATTATTTAAATTGTGATTTGGGTGAAAGTTTACAGAGCAAATTGGTTTTCAATTCAATAATTCATACACATTTTGTTTTGTGACATCCACTGTAGTCCTTCCAATGTAATAACACTCTTCCCACTTCCTCCCTGTGCTTGCCATTTCCCTTTGTTCTTCTTTCCTATTACTTCCTGCTTTCTGAGCTTTATCCCTGGGTAAATAGCCCTTTTGATCTCAAATGATTGATTGTTCTAGGGAGTGCATACCTCCTTGGTGTTATTGTTCACACTATAGGCCTACCGTTGGGCTGAAAGTTGAGCCAAGGGAGTAAGTACAGTTCCAGGCTTGAAAGGTGGAAAGAGTTATAGTCTCAGGGCTTTCACTAGTGTCTATCAGACCAGTAAGCGTGGTCCCTTTTTATCGTGAGTTTTGTTCCAAATTTTTCTCCCACTCTATCCAGGACCTCCTATTGTGATCCCTTGGAATTCTCCAAATCTTTAGCTTCATGAATATGTGTCTATTTTCCCTCTGTCCCACCTTTCCATCACCAAACTCTCCACAAATCAATGATTTTTATAAGGAAAATCATGAGTATATTTTTACTATTGTTGGTATACGATTTAAACCCTTAGTGGTTTTGAACTTGTATCCAAAAATAGTGCTCAGCTTTACTTAGTATCCTCGACAGTTACATTTGAGGTTTTGCTCATTGCCTTCTACCCACTACCTCTGCAGTGCCCACCAGGCTATAATGAGAACAAATCTGTTAAAAGAGGAACTAGAGGAACTGAAAATTAGTATGAATACTTCAGAAGAGCAGAAAACCACGATTGTAGCCCAGAACAAGCAACTAGTAAGTCATCCAAGTGCTTTGAAATTGGCTTAGCGTTTATATAAGCAAAATACAAGAGAGTTTATTTGGGGACCAAAATCAGAAGTCAGGAGGCTGATATATGAATTGGTAATACCGTAGAAAAGTAAAAACGAGTAGAAAAAAAACTCCATGGTTTCCTTTTCAATCAAGATTAAAATTCTTTACATATCAGTCAGTCATGTTCACAGTGGTTTGAGAAAATCTCTGGAATACCTTTTGAAGTTTGATAGATGATTCTTAAATATTTGGGACTAAAAACCACTTGATTTTTAAAAACACTTCTCCTTTTTCTCAGCGTTTAAAAAAGAATCATATCTCTCAGTACTTGTAAGTTATCAAGAAGTTTCATAAATCATCCCTGAACTAAATAAACCCAGGTGTATTAATTTCAGAGCAACAAGTCATTTAGACTAAGCTTTAACTCACACTCCAGAAAAATAACCATTTTTATTGAGAATGTTGAATTGTTACCTAAAACATTAGTAATGGTCTTCAAAATCCTGATAATTCCATTGATATTCCAGCAATGTTAATAATGATGAGGGACAACTGAAAGTCATTCAGACAATTAAGTATCAGATGTCAAGCTATTTTTAGAGTCTGTCTGTAAGTTATTGCAAGGCTTGAGATCCAGCTCTGTTTCAGTCACTTATGACATCTTACAAATATTACAGCTTTTTAGTGTGATAGTAAAATGTGGGGACTAGATACATTGAGTGCAAGGTCCTGAGTGACTCAGCAAGTCTCTATGAATGCTTACAGAAAGACTCATTATGGGGTTCATTGGGGAGCTTCTATTCCAAGACAGAGAAATGATTTACAGCCCACACTTGGGAATCAGATTGAATAAGTTCAGATCCTGGTCCCACAGCCATAAACTTTAAGCAAGCCACATAACCTCTCTAAGCCTCAGGTCCTCGTGTGTAAAATGGAAATGACAGTAGTGTCTAAGCTGGAAGGAGTACACAAACGTAAAGCATTTGCTACCTTTCTTCCTAGTGCATGATAATATTAGCTGTTACAGTTAAAAATACAGAGTCCTAGAAATATTATCCTAATCCTTTGCATTTTATAGTGTTTTACAACTTCAAAGGAATCTTTAATATTTTGTCTCATAGAAATACCGATGAAGTAGAAGCAGAAGTTGCTATACCTTCATTTGTTTAAATTATTATTACTTTTTAAAACAGAATGGTAGGTAAAGTCCAGAAGGATTTTGATTGCTCCAAGTCATTTGTCTAATTAATTGTGAAGCTAGAATCAAAACCCAGGTCTTCTGATTCCAAGGATATCGTGTGTGTGCATACACACATGTATTCATTCTTATATCAATGAAGTCCTAGCATGAGATGTTTTCCCTTACTTTGTAATAAAAGGTAATACCAATTGGCTTTTAAAATACAAGAAAATGCCTATTAACAAATATAAATAAATTTAAACTCCAAAAAATCTTTCCCCTACCCAGTTGCCCCCACAACATTGTTAACATTGTTGGAATATTGCTAGAATTATCATTTTTTAAAAACTATTACTAATGTTCTAGATAATAGTTTAACATTCTCAATTAAAATAGTTCTTTCTCTGGAGTTTGAGTTAAATTACTCAAACCAGAGTAAAGAGATTTACTGCTAACATTTTAGCATATATCCTGTCCTGGAATATTTTTTTTTCTTTTGATGGGTCTGGGTTATTAATTGTAAAATAGGTTTTGATGTTCATATGTTCTGGTAACACTGAATCTAGGAATAGCCACAATTTCAAATAGAGAGTCAGAACTCTGTGATTTCAAGGTGCTGTTTAAATAGCAGAGTTCATAATTAGCGGCCATACCTGGATGGAAAGAAAGTAGTCGGGGGGAATAAAAAAACAAACAAAAAAACCATGTTGTTTCTTTTGTTTCGTTTTTCACTTCCCAACTGTCATAGTTAGACTGAGTTAAGGAGAAGAATGCCTTCTCACAGATTCCCAAGAAACTGCAAGCCAAAGGTTTAACACTGTGTTGAAAATATTTTCAAATGAGGCTTTTTTGTGTGCGATATATTAATGTCATAATTGAAGTAGATAAAGGGAAAGAGTATCCATAGTCTTACAGGTAAATCTGTGGTATTTTCATGAACTTCTCAAATACTTATAAATTACTTTTCTCTTTAATGAATCAGAAGACAGAAAACCGGGCTCTGATTCTTAAGATTAAAATTCTCCAAGAAGAGGTATGTTGAAATCATTGAACACTGGAACAAACATATGTAAACCATACAATCATGGGCGTGACCATGAATTAACTAGAAACCATGTGAATATTCAGGAATTTGTGGGCCAAAGCAGGCTGATTTGTGAGATTATGAGTGAGGAAAAATGGATAGAATTTTCATGTATAGACAGATGTACCTCATTACCTCTGTAATTATCCATGAGAGAAATGGGATGAAAGGAAGTTAGATTTAAGATTAAATGAAATTAATCCATTTAAAAAATATCCAAATCAGGAGGCAAAGCATAGGCATCATCTGATAATTTTCCATGGAAAGAACACTGAACTTGGAGGCAGAAGCCTTGAGTCTAGGACCCAGGTCTTCAGTTCACTGAGAGTATGATTTTGGGGAAGCCATTTTATCATCTCTGGGTTAATAATACCTACTCCATAGGGTGATTTTGGATATTAAATAATGCATGTGAAGCCATTTGGCAAACTGTAACGTACTTCATACATGTTAGGAATTATCACGATAATCTCTAAAAAAAAAAGAATAATTGCATGTAATATTTTTTAAGCAACAAAATTAGAGAATTGGGAAAACAAGTAACAATGCTTATTATTAAGTTACTATATTGGAGGAAAAATTCTTTATAGATATATTTTAAACATAAAATGTCATCTGCAATTCTTGTTTTGGCTCTATATAAGGCTTTCAGAAGTATTAACTTGTGCTGAATAATATGAGTGGTTATTGAAAATGTGGGCCAAATGGATATTCTGAAAAAAAAAACTCATAGGGGGTTGGAAAGCAACAAATGAAGACTGGAGATAAATTCTTCAGTAGGTTCAGGCACAGTGCCTGAATCAGTGCCTAGCTGCAAGGCCAGGTTCTCATGAAAGCTATTGAGTCAATTCTCACTCAAAGTGACCCCATAGGACAGGTTAGAACTGTCCTACAGGGTTTCCAAGGCTGTAAATCTTTGCAGAAGCAGACTGCCTCATCTTTCTGTGTCAGAGAAACTGCTGACCTTTTGGTTAGCAGCCAAATGTCTTAACCATTGCACCACCAGAGCTCCTTTCCTGAAAGCTAGTGTTTTACAATTAAGCTCTTAAAAGATCTTCCCCCATGTATTTAAGGTGAGTGACTATCATCCAAGGATTATACTAAACCAATTTCAAATTGAAATAGCAGGAAGGAGATTTAAACCACTTCATTATGAGATGAATGAAGACAGCAATGCAGTTGTTGAGCTATATTAGAAAGTACTCATAAATATCACTGCTAACTAAGATTCCTCTAGGAGACAAAAATCTGATGCATTGTAGAGAAAAGCACTACAATGGTTTTGATAGTGATTCACTTCATTCATTCATTTCTTTATCTAACACATATCCATTGGGAGACTTCTAATGTGCTAGGCACTATTTTAGGTGCTCAGGATACAAACTTAAACAAAATAGCACGTGTGTAGCTGGTATGTTACATGAGCATTAGTGCCAAGGAGAAAAGAAAGGCAGAAAATAGGAACAGGGGGCTATGATGCAATTTAAACTAGTGTGCTTAGGGAAAGCAGCACTGAAAAGTTAACCATTTGATTACAAACTGAGAGAAAGGGATATCTGTAGGATGAATTTTCCAGGCAGAAGAAACAGCAAATTAAAAGTCTTGAGGCTGCAGCTTGCCTGATCCATTTAACAGACAGCAAGGCCAGTGTGGCCAGAACAGAGAGAACAGGCAGCAAGAGAAGAGGTCAAAGAGCTGCAAAAAAAAAAAAAAAATTGTTTCAGACGTGCAGTTTGTAGGCATTGTTAGGATTTTGGCTATTATGTTGGGTGATGGGAGCTACTTCAGGGTTTTAA